GTGGGTAGAAGATCTTATGGGGTGACCCTGATGAGAGCAAGACGAAAAATCTCTTCAAAATGAGCAAGTCTGGAGTTAGTATGATGGTACGTATTCTAAGTGGACACACAAGATTACGAGCACATCTATGCAAAATTGGATGTGCGGATTCAGACGAATGTAGAGCATGTGGAGAGGACAGTGAAACTCCGAGCACTTTCTTTGCCACTGCCAGGCATTCGTCGAAGTTAGATCCAAGTATCTTGGAAGTGATATTATTCCGGAAGCACCCGGTCAACATAAAACTGTCTAGGGATAGGATAATCCCTATAAGAGTATCAGTGTGCACGTTATTGAAGGCGCCTTCGATGTCAATACATACCTCCAGTGTATACAGTTTGCTATCAAAGGATGCAGTTGGTATACTGCTTTTAACCATACTATCGACAATCCGTTCCAAGGTTTTAAGTAGGAAGGACGTAAGACTTATCGGTCGATAGGACTTATGTGTCGTATAGGTTTTCCTGGTTTGGGTATAAATATTACCCTTGCATCCTGCCATTTAACTGGGGTATATGTTAATTTCTAGCATGCAGTGAATATTTGTGACAGATGTACCGAAACCAGTCCCGCCTCCATCTACAAAAGTGTCGGGAAAATGCCATCCGGGAGCAAAGCTCTTTATTGCCACTTTAACCATGTCAGATGTAATAAATATTTCCGTATTAGCCTTCCCTTTCTCCAATATCGGTTCATCCATGTTATTCGATGTACCGGGTGGGAAATGCCCGTGTCATCGATCATAGATTCCGGCTGAACATGAGTTTTGGATAGAAACTTTTTTATCTTCGATACGTCTCTTATTTTCACCAAGTTTATTGCGATACTCATCCCTCATAAAAAGACAGCAGTATAGTCTTTTTACGCCGTGCCTGATTAAATAGTATGCGAAGAGTCTTCCCAAGGTTCCGGATCTCCCCGGTTAAACAGGGTTTCTCCTGGGCAGATCTCCGCTCTCGCAGAGGGCAGCTATCCTCGAACGATTCAACCACGACTTTTGTGAACGTTTATACTTTGGCGTCTATATCCTCCTTATTGCGACGTTGAAAAGTGTCCTGACCTAAACGGATCTTTAGTAAGGTCCCGAACATTGTCCAATTAGTTTTAGACTTATTCCGAAACTTTATTGGCTTTGGTGGTGGTCTTAGTATTTTGAATCTTATGTACCGATAGTCAGAAAAGCAGTGCTCGTCCGAAACTCTCCAATCCTGAATTTCGTTTATAAGCTCTTCTAAACATATAGTTATATCTAATACTTCTTATCTGATTCTATTGACAAAGGTAGCTTTATTACCTAAGTTCAATGTGATCATGTCTTTTGTATTAAGGAAATCCATAAGGGCTTGTCCCCTGAGATTGGTGTTTGTACTACCCCAAGCTACATGGTAGGAATTTGCATCAAAACCTATTATAATTTTATTACTATTCCTTTGTGCCTCTTCAACCAGTTTCATCAGATCCGACGTTGGTGATGGTGTCGGAGAATCGAAGGGTAGGTAAAAGGAAGCGAGATATATGTTGTGGATAATCCTGTTGAGAGGAAACATAAGTTCTTGTGACATAAAATACATGTTCTCGGTTGAGACCCTGTATCAGCGAAAAAAAGTTGGATTAAAGCTATATGTATTTTACCTGCGTTAATTTTAGCCATCAGTACCAACGCTCTGATGGCCATATCGCTGGAGGTTTATTTGGATAACCTCAATCATGGTCATCCATTAAACTGTCTTCCATCGAGTTGGTTTTCACCTCCTCGCTCTTTGAACTTGACTCCTCCGAGTAGACAGAAGTGGCTATTGATGCAGTGGGTATTATTGATGGCACTGCGGTGTACTTATCTGGCATTGGAATATGAGACTTTTTAATCGACACCTTCCCAATTTCCTCGATTTTAGGAATTGGCACGGGAAGTTCACTCTTCTTTGCCAATATCAGCTTAGCGGCGTCCCAAGGAGGAGGGATACTTTCCACCAAGTTCTTTAGGGTGTTAACACATAGGTGAAATGCCAACAACATCACGCCCATGCTGAACTCGCAGCTCACGCTCTCTATTGGTTGTTAGCCCTTTGAAACGATTGCGTGGTCCACTATCTTATTGTTCACCAGATCTTCTACCTTACTTTGATGTTTGTAAAGCTTAATATACCCACATATTCATAAAATACCTATTCCCTAAAATACCCATCGGCTTAGAGTCATTTTCTAAGTCGATTTAGCTATGTCCGTCCATCCGTCTGACCGACCGATTTGTTATCAAACTACGGGACGTAATTTCGAAGAGTTGAAATATATTTGGTACATCTTTTTCTAAACTAAACACACATACATACATATGTAATATAAAAATAAGCTTTCATATACCGCGTTCCTTTAAATAAATAATTTAAATCCATTTTATTATTTTCCAAATACTTCAGTTCTTTATTTATTTCTTAAATACAAAAACATAACCTTAATCTATAACTTTATAAGGATTCAATATACAATTTGGATCTAAAACTTGTTTCATTTTTCTCATCATATCTATAGCATCAGGATTTTTAGAAAATTTCAAATAGTTTTTCTTGAGGAAACCAATACCATGTTCAGCACTTATACTGCCCTTCAGCTGGGATGTGTATTCGTAGACAAATGGTTCAATCATTTTATATAGTTCAGTTGAATATTCCTCACAGGAAACATTAAGATGAAGATTTGAATCTCCCAAGTGACCAAAGCCGCAAACACGTTTTGACATATGGCCGACACGTTTGTCAAGAACATTGACAATTTCATAGAAGGAACGTAAGGGCAGAGATATGTCGTACTTAAAGCAATATCCATCTTTATCTAAAGCCGGTGCAATTAATTCGCGAATTTTCCATAATTCTAGCATTTTACTTGGTTCGCTAGTGCAGGTGCCATCGATTACATCACCTTTTTCCATACAGTGTTGCAGGAAATTATTAAGTTTTTCCATATCATGATCAGCATTACTGCCAGATGTTTCGATGATCATATAGAAGGGAAAGCCTTCAATGGGGGACCTTAATGCGAAAGAGTAAATAATTAACTCATTTTCATATGTAATTTTATTAATACGATTACATACTTGAAATTAAAATTTTCACAGCTAGCTGCTAAAGACTTCTCGTCAATCATTTCACAAGAGGATAATATTTCACCCAAATGACGTTTAGCATTTTTAAATGTCTCCAAAACACTTTCGAAAGAATTAAGAGCTAAACATTAAAGTTATTATATATTTTGTTAGACAGTGCTACTTATTATTAATTACCCAAGAAAGACAAGTTAACAGATTCAGGAACTGGTGGACATAAAATGGCCAATTTGGTTACCACACCTAAAGTACCCTCTGATCCTATAAACAAATGCTTTAGATGATAACCAGTATTGTCTTTTTTGAAATCTGACATAAGATCCAATACTTTTCCATCAGCCAATACCTTTAAGAAGATAAAACTTATAATTTCAAAATACTAAACAATATATAGTTCACTTACAGCCTCCAGTCCCAACACTGAACCATGCAAATTACCATAACGAACAACACGCAAACCACCAGCATTTGTAGATACATTTCCACCGATATGGCAACTTGATTTAGCTCCCAAATCAAGTGGCACTATTAGGCCCGATTCTCTAGTTTTAGCATCCAAATTTTCCAATATACAACCAGATTCACAGGCTGTGATGCCCGTTATATCATCGATACTAATGATTTTATTTAGACGAGCTAAAGAAAGAATAATTTCATCAAATACTGGCACAGATCCACCCGCTACACCGGTATTTCCACCCTGGGGGCAAACAGCTAAACGTCTGTTATTGCAGTATTTTAAAATTTCGGAAATTTCCTGAGTTGAGCCGGGTTTAAGGACCAATTTACTGTTACCACGCACACTACGCCAAAAGTCCGTATTGTAACCTTGTAAGTCATCTTCACCGTCCTTTAAAACGTTTGTGGTGCCAATTAACGACTCAAAAAAGGACACATCTTTGCCATTTAATTCGGCATAATTGCCACGCTTGACATTAAATTGTACCTGAAAATGAATTAGTCAATCAGTAACTTTAAATGTTTGTATTGTTAATCTCCTCTCTATCTTAATCTCTTTTCAGCTAGAGGATTAAATATGAATGTTTTTCTGTAAACTATAATATATCCCTTTTGAAGATATATGTAGTCGTAGTGTTAAACATATAAAGGAGAAAACTGTTTTCCCAAGTCATTGTACCATGTTAAAGTAAATAAATCCTCTTGTCTGCTTTATGTTCATAATATTGCGAACATAAAATATTTCAATGGCAAACGACCGATTATTATAGATTTTTTATTTAAAGAAAACCTCAAATATAGTTTAAATTGATTTATCTTTTAAATTACCTGCGTTAATTCCGGTAATGTCGATGATACACTGTATGTTCGAAATGCGGGTGATAGCAAAGTATTTTTCAGTTGCGTCAGAGTTCTAAGGCGCTGCATCTGTAATTAAAAATTTTATGGAGTTAACGGGCTTAAAAGTTACTATAGAAAAGTGCATCTCTCTTTAATATTAAAATGTCTGATATTTGTATATTTGTGTATAGCTAAAATATACCCCGAAAATAAAAGTTGAATTTTCTTAAAAACTTTTATAATCTCATTATTTTTTGATATAAAATATTTAATTGTTTATATAAAAAATAAAATGTTTTATTTTATTATATGAAGTAATTTGTTTTGATATATTTATATTGTTTAATTGTCTTTAGATAAGATTAAAAATTATCTCTAATAAAACATCAAGCACTACTCTAGTACATACAGATAAATATGCATTGATGTCTGGCAAATAATAAACTTGGAATAAAATTGAATTGTGAAGAACTGCTAGTTGTTGTGTTTTCCTTACTTTATCGATAAATGAATAAATGTCCATAAAAAGTGACACTAGCAAATATTCATAAACTATAATAACATTTTGTGTCAGTGTATTCATACATCAAAAAAAAATTACAATTTTTAAAGCAAATTAGAGCGATCTGAATATATGTTCTGTGATTATTCTAGACAATCCTTATTGGAGTGCAGGTAAAATTATATTTTTGCATGTAAAAATTTAAATTTACATGGGTCTTGCAAAATCTTTATCAGCTGAAGAATGTGGAAAAATGTCATCTTATAAAGATCAAAACCTTTCAAATCACCAAATTGCAAAAACGATTGGAAGATCTGTTAATGTTGCAAACAACTTTTTGAAACTAAAAGAAAATTATGGTAGAAAAGTCCGGACCAAAATCAAAGCTGACTCAACATCAAAAATCGATTATAATGCGAATGGTATCAAGGAAAAACTTATTTGCTCCAGAAATAAAAGCTTTCATCTCAAAGAGCACCAGAAGAGTTCAGTAAGAGTTGCGTAACTCAAAACGCTTTCAATATACAAAAAGTATGGCGCGCCCCGCACCTTTCAAAAAACATAAAGAAAATCGATTTTGGCGATAATTGGGAAAGAGATTTATTTAGCGATGAGAAGAATTTTCGTTGAATGATCACGGGGAAGATTTAATGGGTAATGACTTAATTTTCCAACAATATAATGTAGCATTCACACATCCCGTTCTACTAAAGAGTTGTTCAAATAATTAATTACAATTTAGGGGAATTCTAAAGTTGGCATATAACTTCATAAAGCAATGTAACTCATTAAAGTTTATTGCCAATGCTACAAAACCGACTATGAGGAAACGTTCTATTTGATATATGTACACTTTGGCCGTGCAATATGATTTGAATATAGACCAGATATTGCTTAAAGAGAGGAGAGTTCACTCTCGTTCCTGTTGGTTGGTTGAAATCGAAACCACGACTTACAGATTATAAAACTATAAACGTCTTATCAAAATATTAACTTTAAAGACATAATTATTTTCAAATTTAATTCATAATTATAAAATTATGGATAAACAGACATTGCACTATAGGCCATGGACAGATTCTGAGATAAAATGTAGCGACATATGTATGTACATACAAATGAGCGACATATGTATGTACAGTAATGTTCGAAACATTCAATGGTGTTTTACTCAAAACGAAGTTTTTTGATTTATGTCGGTATTGTAGTAAATGAGCGACATATGTATGTACAGTATTGTTCGAAACCTAAGCAACTTTTTTAGCATTGCATACAATGTGCTATATTTTCTATTTTAATTGATTTATTCAAAATTATATAATTGATTTGTATAATATAATATAATATATTTGTAATAAGTTACAAGAAAATAATAACTGAATTAACTCCATAAATAGATGTTCGTAACTTAAGCAACTGTTTGATCTTCTTATGAAAATCTTTGGTCCTTTTGAGTTCCAAGTACCTTTATGGAATAGATTAGTTACTAGTGTAGTTCGCAATGAATTCCAATCGGATTTTAAGCCATTCGCCAGCGCTTCAAAACGCCAAACAGCATCTCTAAGGGATTTGAGTCAGGAGATCTTGATGGTTTATTATTATGCTTAAAATCGCAATAAAGTAAGTTGTTCTGTTCAATGTACTTAATCATATGATTCATTTTGTTGGTCAAAAATGTCCCAGAAAGTAAAACAGTCAAATTTTATTTGTATTTCAACATCAGGACTTACTCTACTCACCAAAGATCTTCACCGCAACCTTAATTGTTTGACCTCTATGCTTTTTTAAGTCTTTAATGTACGATGATGCAACCGCATATGAATGCCGCAGTGGCATGGGACGGAGTTAAGTAAATTCTATTTTTATACAAATTTTGTACAATTTTAGGTAGAATATTGAAATAGATTTGCAAGACTAATAAAAAACAGTTTTAATTACAAACGGGACCACATTTTCCTTCTTAAATTCAGACAGATTATACGAGGCTCAAAGGCTAAAGAAAATATTATAACATACCCTTTTAGTAAGGTCCAATAAAGAATGGAGAGCAATAATTTAAGGTTGTGGCCATGTTTTTTGAAGAGAACAGTTAGTCCTGATGTTGAAACACAAACAAAGTTGGATTGTTTTTCTCGCTGGGACGTTTTTGGCCAACAAAATTAATCATATGATTGAGTACACCGAACAATTTACTTTATTGCGATTTTCAGCATGATAATGAACCAAAATGTTTGGCAAAGTTGATCTAAGAGTAATTATCGGGTAATAGGAGCCAAATTCTTTGATTGCCCATCAAAATCTCCTGACTTAAATCCCTTAGAGATACTATTCGGCGTTCTGAAGTGCTGGGTATGAACTCGCAGTTTTAGAAAACATTCCAACTGGCGAATGGCTACAAATCCGATTGGGATTCATTGCGAACTACACTAGTAACTAATCTATTCCATAAAGGTGCTTGGAACTCAAAAGAAACAAAGATTTTCATAAAAAGATCAAAAAGTTGCTTAAGTTTCGAACATCTATTTATGAAGTTAATTCGGTTATTATTTTCTTGTAACTCACAGCGAAATGGAATTAAACTTTAATTGTTGTTATTATAATGTAGACCCATAATATTATACAAATCAATTATATAATTTTGAATTAATCAATTAAAATGGAAAATATAGCACTTTGTATACAATGCCAAAAAAAAGTTGCTTAGGTTTCGAACAATACGGTATATGCAACGATGTTGTTTAAATGAATAAATGATTATGTTAAGTTATCAATATCATTTTCAATAATCTATTCTATGATAAAAATAATTGACGTAAATGTTAAAAGTTTTTCTATTTGAAAAGCACTTACACAAATATATGAAATAAACGAAATATTTTAAATTAATTTTGTTTGAACTTTTAAAATTGAAAAACTTATAACATATAAACTTTTTTGGTGTTTTCTATTATATTTAACAGTTTTTGGATTGCAAAAAATTGTACAAAATGTTATTGAATTAGGTCCAATATTGCAGGGATTGGAGAATTATTTTACTTTGGAATTGGAGTATTCTTAAATAACACACTCTCGATTAATATTTTGTTACATTTTTCAAATCCCATACCTGTTACTACAGAATTTGATAATGAAATTTTGTTAGTTTTTTATGGGAGAGTGTATTCTCTTTATCTCTCATTTTGATTGATTAATATTAATTTACTATTTGTTATTGTTTTTTATTCACATTTGTTTATTTGTCAAATAGACACTTGATAAAAATAACATATTCACAATTTTTTATTTTATATGCTTCAAAAATATATTAATTAACAATAATATTATTGTAATATTGTTAATACACCACGAATATTTTTACAACACTTGTGTCTTAATTTTATTCTCATATTAAGTCATAATAAAACTTATACACAAACCCTTTTATTATTATCAATTTGAATTGTTAAAAATTATTTATTTAAAATTAATTTAAAAGAAAAAAAATAATTATACCTTTCTTTTTGACTATTTGTTAATAACTAAAAACATTCCACTCAAAGATCGTCTACAGTAACGTTCAAAAAAATAACACAACAACAAACTAAATTTATTTTTGTACAATTAAATAAAACAACAAACAAATGATAATCATCAACCAAAAAAACTGCTAGTCATTAAAAATGCTCTTTTATCTATTTGAAGACTAAATATTCTCTTTATATATAAAATTTATTCCATATGTACATACATATACGTATGTATGTATGTACATATAGACATTAGTAAATTCTCAATTATTGTTTTATTATTTATTTAAGAAGAGCCAACTTATTTAAATAATAAATATTTCTTATTTTACTTATTACGTTTTGTGCGAATTTTGAGTGAATTTCTTATGATAACAAAAATGGAATCGCAAAGAAGAATAACGAAAACGTTTGTTTGTATTCCTAATCTATAATTTAATTCATTTTCTAACAATTTTGCTCTGTGTTTTATTTTCTAAACAAATGTAACAGCTGATTTTTTGCTTTCTTTAAAAAACAGTATTGCAAGAAGTAAATGCGAAACCAGTGTTAATAAAAACAAGTAAGAAAGTATAGTCGGGCGTGACCGACCATATGATACCCTACACCAGTTATGAATATTAAATGTGATTTATTTTTCATAATAAAGCATTTATCTTCTATTACCTTGTTCCGATACATTTAAGCAATTTATGGATGAAAAACTAATTTTCTGAAAGAGGCTTTATATGGGGGCTAGGGGCAAATATGGACCAAGCCTGATAAAATTTTGTGAATATATTTATATTTACATAATATTTTATTGTGCTTAATTTCATCGCTATATTTGTGTTTATAAGTTAATTTTGGACATTCAAGTAATTCTCTGAAGGGGACTTTGTATGGGAACTGGGGTCAAATGAGGCCCGATCTCTATGAAATTTGGCAAGGTCATCAAGGCTTGTATAAAACTTAGTTGTGCCGCTTTTTATCAATATACAGGTATATTTAACATAATTATGAGCTCAGAAGCCCTTTTCGGGCGGTTCTGTTGTATGGGGGCTAGGTGAAATAAAGGACCGATTTTAACCATTTTCAATAGGCTTCGTCCTTGGGCCGAAAAAGGAGTGTGCCAAATTTCATCCAATTATCTTGAAAATTGCGACCTGTACCTTGCGCACAAGGTTTACATGGACAGCCAGCCAGACGGACGGACGGAAAAAGCTTAATCGACTCAGAAAACGATTCTAAGCCGATTGGTATACTTTAAGGTGGGTATAGGACGAATATTTTTGTATGTTACAAACATCAGCTCAAACCGAATATATGTACCCTCCCCACTAAAGTGGTGTAGGGTATAATGAAGTTCGACTTGTTTCTTCATACATTTTACATGTTTAAAAGTATTTCATTTTGACGAGTTAAATTATAAAACACATTAAAAGCATAATAACAATAGTGTTAAGGGTGATATTTATGCCCTTTACCTTGGTGAGAAGGGTATATGTATATAAGTTTGTCATTCCGTTTGTAATTTCCACAATATAATTTTCCGACCCTAAAAAGAATATATATACTGAATCCTTATTTTCCGACCCTATAAAGTATATATATTCTGAATCCTTATAGATAGCGGAGTCGATTAAGCCATGTGCGACTATCTGTCCGTCTGTCTGTGTGTTTGTTGA